TCCCTGATCTGCTTGGCCTCACTCCAGCATGCCTACAGTTTCCACTTCAAGTTCATGTTGGATCCTATATGTGGCACACTCTTACTTGTTAGAGTATCACTTTCTCTTGAAAGTCTTCTCTCTTACCTAAGGCATGATTACTAACTTTCCTTCTTTTGACTTCTACCAGAACAAAGTATAGTGTGAAGAAATGTGCATTCTGCTGTCAAAATGATCTGAATGTAAGCCTGACACTTGCACCTACTATCTGTGTGATCACAGGAAAATAAGTTAATTTTCTGGAAGCTCAGTCTCCTGATATTTAAAATAAAGATTGTTAATTCTTGGGATGCCTGGGTGGCTCAGTCTGTTGTGTGTCTGACTCACAGCTCATGGGTTTGAGTCCCACATCAGGTTCTGTGCTGACAGCTCAGAGACTGGAGACTGCTTCAGATTCTATGACTCCCTCTCTCTCTTCCCCTCCCCAGCTCATGCTGTCTCTCTCTCTCTCTCTCAGAAATAAATAAAACTAAAAACATTAAAAAAAAAGACTTAATTCTCTACAATTATGAGTATCATCAGTGATACTGTATTGCCAGGCCTGCTTAGATTTCTCTTTGTGAGCNCACAGCTCATGGGTTTGAGTCCCACATCAGGTTCTGTGCTGACAGCTCAGAGACTGGAGACTGCTTCAGATTCTATGACCCCCCCCCCCCCCCCCCCCGCTTACACTCTGTCTCTGCCTCTCTCTCTGTCTTTCTCAAAAATAAAAACATTAAAAAAAAAGACTTAATTCTCTACAATTATGAGTATCATCAGTGATACTGTATTGCCAGGCCTGCTTAGATTTCTCTTTGTGAGCTCCTTGAGATAAGAGACCTTGCCTTTTTATGTTATTTTGCTGTCCTATATAGCACCTACCACAATGCCTGGTATTTTGCAGCACTCAATATTTTTTAATCAATGGATAGTTCTGGAAAAACAGCTCAAGCACTATAGGTCAATTAAAGTCTAAGTTCTTCTATGAAGTGCTCTCTGACCATCCCCACTCCCATTAATTTGAATTCTCATAGGTCTCATACATATACATACTACTAATAAGGCTCTGGTTACAACCTGCTTCATACATACTAACTGATTTTAAGCCACTACAGGGCAGTAACCATGGCTTTCACCTTTAACTTCTATTTCACAATTCTGTGTAAATGCCAGCTAATGATAAGGCTATTTCAAATATCCCATTCTCTTTCTCATTCCAAGTCGTTTTCTTCCTCAGTTTGCATTGAGCTTACCTCTAGGTCCCAGATTGAGGCCTTGGTAACAATAACTACTTTCTGTAGTCTGTGTCCTTGGCTCAAGGTGAGTGACTTCTCCTGACCTAGCTTCCCTCCTCTCCCTGTAGCTGGTCTCTCCTTTCTTCAGCACACTTTCTCTCAATCATCCTTTACTTTCTACTCCTGGGCAAGAATCTTCTCATTGATGTATTGTTCTCATGGGGATTTGGAAAACTTTGATTTTTTTGTTTCTTACTTCACAGGCTCATGGAGAATTATTGCTGGAAGTTACCTTAAAAATCAATGAAACCAGGGACCTCAAATAGAGAACAATTCTCCACATTGTGTGACGCATGTATAGTCAATTATGGCATTTTTTTCCCTGCTGAGGTCATACATAGCCTCAGAATCATTTTCAATAATATACCTGGTAGAAACTATCAGTCTACCAGAAACTATCAATCCATCATCACGACCCATCCATCACATTGGAAATGAAACTTGCCTGAAATACTTGAAGTTGTTCAAAGCTGTTATTTTGCTAATGAGGCCTGAAGAGCAGTGGTGACTTAATCATGAACTGAAACCAGAATCCAAATTACTTGGCCCTCATGATTATTGGTCCAAGGTTTCCATTTCCACATGATCACTGGCCCTCCTTCAATAGTCATTCAAGTCTGAGAATTTATTTTCTATTATTTGGAATGCACCTATTAGTATTTAACAGTATGATTAAAAAGCACAATACACACATCTTAGCCTTATCAAAAAGACAGCTGGGCTCTCATAGATGTTATAAGCCCTCGAGGAGAAGGAGCTTTGGTAGGCTTGTATCTTTCACACATTCAACTACATAAATGAACAAACCAGGAGCTGTATCCTTAAATTCTCACTAAGAATCAGTGAAGAATCCTGCTCTCTTCCTTGTAAACAGTATTTATTTGAATGGACTTCAGGTATGATGACACATACCCTACTCTTTCTTAAAAAAGAGGTACACCTTATGTTTAAATAAATTCTTATTTCACCCAAATGTTTTAGGGGAAAGTAAATTGTTATGTCAATGACTAGGCTGCTCTGTGACACTTCTCCTTAAAAATTCAAGGGGCGGTGCTGTGGTTTGGGGCTCAAAAGTCCTAAGAAATGATAGCTTTTCTTCTTTTTGTTTTTCATGGTGACATCTACTGGCCAAAATTTGTGGCTCTGTGTGACAATGACAAGCCAGAATTGTTAGGACAGAAAGGTAAAGGAAAGGAGATGAAGAAAAAGAGCATAGGAAGAAAGAAAGGTAGGTAGGGGGCAGTATTTTACAATACAGCAATGTGATACTAGTTTTATCACTTAAAAATTGATTTTAAAAGCTGTACAAGCCACAGCTGACATCATACTGAATGATGAAAGGTTGAATGCTTTCCGCTTAGGGTCAGGAACAGGGCAAGGATGGTTGCCCTTGCCACTTCTATCCAACATTGAGTTGGAGGTTCTATCAGGGCAATCAGGCATGACAAAGAAATGAAAGTCATCCAGGTTGAAAAGAAAGAAGAGTTAAAACTCTCTTTTTACACATGATGTGATATTATACGTAGAAAATGCTAAGGAATCTACCAGAAAAACTATTAGAACTAATAAATGGGTTCAGCAAGGTAGGAGGATAGAAGATTGATATAGAAAATAATTACATTTCTATAAACTGGAAATGAACAAAACAAAAGATGAAGTTGAGAAGATAATTAAAATATTAAAAAAAAGAAATTGGAATCCTACCTCATATTATATACAAAAAACTAACTTAAAATGGGTCAAACACCTAAATATAAGAGCTAAAACTATAAAATTCTTAGAAGAATATATGGATGTAAATCTTTGTGATCTTGGATTAGGTAATGATTTCTTAGATATGACATAAAAAACATAAGTAACAGGGGCGCCTGGGCTTATTAAGTTGAGCATCTGACTTTGGCTGAGGTCATGATCTCACAGTTCGTGGGTTTGAGCCCTGAAATCAGGCTCTGTGCCGTCAGTACAGAGCCTGCTTCAGATATTTTTTCCTCCTCTCTTTCTCTCTGCCCCTTCCACACTTGCTCGTGTGTGTGTGTGTGTGTGTGTGTGTATAAGTGTGCATGCGTGTTCTCTCTCTCAAAAATAAAAACATTAGAAAACCCCACAAGTAACAAAAGAAAACATACATAACTTGGACTTTATCAACATTAAAAATTTTGTGTATCAGTAAACACTAACAAGAGACTGGGAGAAAATAATTGGAAAGCAGACAGTTGATAAGAGACTGATACCCAGAATATATAAAGAACTTCTGTACAACTTAACAACAACAAAATCCAATTTAAAAATGGGCAAAGAATCTGAAAAGGCATTTCTACAAAGAATATACAGAAATGGCCGATTAGCACATGAAAAGATGCTTGACACCAACAGTCATTAGGGAAATGTAAATTACAACTACAATGAGATATGACTGCAGACAGAATAAGCAGAAAGACATATAATAACAAGTGTTGGTGAGTATGTGGAGACATTGGAACCCTCCTTCACTGTGGGAATGTAAACAGGTACAACTACCTTGGAGAACAGTCTGGAAGTTCCTCAAAATGTTAAATGTAGAGTTATCACATGACCCAGAAATTCCCCTCCTAGGTATATACCCAGTGGAAATAAGAATACATGTCCACACAAAAATTTATACACAAATGTTCATTGCAGCATTATCCATACTAGCAGAAAGTGGAAAGAACCCAGATGTCCATCAACTGATGAATGGATAAATTAAATGAGATATATCATCACAGTGGGATATTATTTGGCAATTAATAGAAATAAAATATTTATCCATGCTACATTACAGATGCATGAGAACATTATGTGAAGTGAAAGAAGCAGTCACAAAAGACCAAATGGTGTATAATTCCATTTATATAAAATATCCAGAATAGGCAAATCTATAGATAAAATAGATTAGTAGTTGCTTCAGGCTGGGTAGGATGGAGGTGGGGGTGAGGCTGAGGGCAATGGAAAGTGACTGCTACAGGATACCTTTATGGGGTGATCAAATGTTCTCAAAGTGATTGTAGTGATGATTGTATAACTAAATATACTAAAAACCTTTGGATGGTATGCCTTACATTAGTGAATTGCATGGTAGGTGAATTTTATCATCAAAGGTGTTATGAAAGAAGATACATGTTCTTTCATGTATCATGAAGATACATGTGTGTATAATACTTTAATTTTGGTGATTAATTTTCCCCTGTTAATTCTCTTCTATGTCTGTCACAACAATCCACGTATTCACTCAGATAATCTATCTGTATATTTCCATGACCGCTGTCTTAGCTTTGTAATGTGTAACAATCTAGACATATTTGTGATGAACAGGAAGGTATCTTTCATTAAACCCATCCTTTTAGAACATTTAATTTAAAAGAGAAAACTTAAAGAAATGAAAACACTCAACTACCCTTTTTTCTTGTTTTTTGTAATCATTACATCACCTTCATGAACATATCTCTTCTGTGGACCACTAGAAGCTTTACCCCCAGTATTTAATATATTTTCCATAAATCTACTTCCTCAGAGAATACACTATTGCTTTTAGCAGTACATTTATAATAGCATTCTACTATAGTACTCTGGTAGCTCCATAATTTCATTGCTACTGAAAGCCTAAATGTTAATTATAATTAAACCCATGGCAACCGAGAGAACTTAATGTTTCAATTATTTTGTACTTACCCCTTTTGAATCAATCACTCCAGGTTTTGCATTAAACTTCACTGTCTTCAACCGGGCACGTTCCTTTCTTTCCACCCTAAAGAAAATTGAAAATAAAGAGTCTATCACGTGGCAAGGCATTTATGATTAAGTTCCTTATTAAATGAAGAATATCTCTTCTTATCCTACAGCTCAAATAAAATGTATTCTAAAATATTTCTGTTCCTTTGTTCTATATAAAAATCTTGGTATAATTTCTCAAACCCACTAACACATCCTTTGAAGCTTTTGTGTTACATGTACTGAGAGTCACACTGATTGGGGAGGGGGGGACAAATGGAGAAAAACTGTTACTTAAATGCCTGAATAAATCAACCAAAAATCTATTATAAGAAATCACAGCCCACAGAGATGGACATGTATACTAGAGCCCAAGTAAACTTCTCTCTTCTCCTCTGCTCTCCTCCGCATGCCTCATCTCTTCTACCTTTTCTTTTCATTTCCTTTTTCTTCCTTTCCCTTTAGTAACATAGGGGATGTACTTTCACCTTAAAACCAAACATGTTATAGATAATCTTGAATTTTTCCTTTTCCCCAGTGCTATTCTCCTGTCATCTCTGCATATTTCATCATTGTACCTGCCACTTCATTCATTCATCAAATACTTATTGAGTGCCTACCCATGTATCAAGCAAGGAGCTGGGGAAAAAAAAAAAAACATTAAAAAGCATGACTGCAATAAACACACAGGACTGTGCTTCTGGTAGGAACAGAGAAGTAAGACAGACTGATAAGGCTGCACTGTAAGACTGTTGACAGCAGTGGGGCTCAGGGGAGCATCTATCTCACTGGAGGGTGAGAAGGAGGGGTAGAAAGCATTGAGGTGGGCTCCATGGAGGAGGTGTCAATTTGAAAGATGTCCAATTTGAAGGATGAGAAAGAGTTTGTCAGGAGGAAAAGCTCAGGGAGAATTCCCCAGACAGGAGGAACAACACATAGCATGACCCAAGGGTCTAAACAAGTTAAAGACTGTGGGGAGATTCTGATACAGGCTATACACAGGATGGGATATGAGACAGTAAGATGGTGAGGTCTCCTTATAAAAGAACCATCTACATTAAGGACTTGGGCTTTAACAATTTTTTTAAGTTTATTTATTTTGAGAGAGAAAGCACGAGTGGGTCAGGGACAGAGAGAGAGGGAGAGAGGGAATCCCAAGGAGACTCTGAGCTGTCAGCACAGAGACTGATGAGAGGCTCGAACTCACAAACAATGAGATCACGACCTGAGCTGAAACCAAAAGTCAGCTGCTTAACAGACTGAGCCACTAGGGCAGCCCAATTTGCACTTTTTCCTTGGGGAATCGTCAGGAGTTATTAGAAGATATAACGTGGAGAAGTGATAAAAGAGATAAACATTTTAAATAAATAACCCTGGTGGAGGAGGAAGATAGACTGGAGGAGGGAAGGGATGGTGGGAAGCGGAAGTCCATTTAGAAGCTGTTGGCATTCTTCAGGCAAGACATGATAATGAGGTGAAGGGGAGGAAAGGGTTTGAGAAATAGTAGTGAAGTAAAATTGGTAAGATGTGTGCCTGTTTGAAGGATGGGGTTGTAAAAAGAGGAAAAGAGAAGCTAAGTACTTCCTTGATTTTTTTTTTTTTTTGAGCCTCGATACAACCATACTTATTTGTGTCTTCACGTTGGTGTTATCTCTTGTTTCTTTGTGTCTATTTTCACAGTGTACAAACAAAACTGCATGTTCCTTGAGGGCAAGCTCACATTATCACTCCACATCATACTGTAGCAAGACCTCAATAAACAGCTGTTAACTAAAATAATATTCGATGCATTGTTTTAACTGGACTTTTTATTTAAATACGGCTAGCTCTAATTTCAAAAATGAGGAAAGAAAGGAGAGAGAGAATAAAAACCCTGAATCTACAGAAATTAATGGTTTATGAAACCTAAGCTATTCATAGATCAATAATTAACAACATATTGCTTTTTAACTGAGAGCTCTTGTGTGTTTCCAGCTGAAACGCAGTGCAGATCAGGGTTTCTATAGTTACAGAACAGAGTTTCAGAATACATTTCAGTGTGAGAGGAGAATATCTGAGTGGAAACAGCTGAACAAAAATTTTCATATCTAACCTCAGATATTAAAGCAATATGTTCCACTAAGAGTTTCTATTTGCACCCAACAGACAACAGTTGGGAAGAGCACAAGGAAGACTTTGGATAAGGTAAGCTGCCAAGTGGAAAGATGCTCACTGAGAAATGCCTGTTCTGAGCTACTTCAGCTTTTCTCAGTTTTAATCCAAGAGCAAATGTTAATCCATATTCATCTCTTTGGATCCTTCTAAAACTGTTGTTATAGCCTGAATTTATCCTGGCTTCTTTGCATTAACCAGACTGATTATGGGAAACACTAATACATTAGATGAGGCCAAAATGACATGCAGAGGATACATGGTTATTTGATCAGGCTATGCAAAATATTCTGTCCAAACCTACAGAACTCACAGGGCTCCAAACATATATTAGGCTGATGTCAGGATTCTAAGAACTATTTGGACAGAGCATTCTAATTTTTACCCCCTGGATTCCAAGCTCAACCTTGTTTTCAGATTTCTTCTTCCTTCCTTCCTTCCTTCCTTCCTTCCTTCCTTCCTTCCTTTCTTTCTTTTTTTTTACAAATAGTTTATTGCCAAATTGGTTTCCATATAACACCCAGTGCTCATCCCCACAAGTGCCCTCCTCCATGCCCATCTCCCCCCCCCCCCCCCCCCCCCCAGTCCTCAGTTTATTCTCAGCATTCAAGAGTCTCTCATGGTTTGCCTCTCTCCCTTTCCCCCACCATTTCCCCCCTTCTTCTCCCCCATGGTCCTCCATTAAGTTCCTCCTAATCCTCCTATACATGCAATCATATGATATTTGTGTTTTCAGATTTCTAAAGAAATGTCTCCCTCCTGGGTGGCTCAGTCAGTTAAGCATCCGACTTCGGCTCAGGGCCTGTAAGTTTGAGCCCCACATTGGGCTCTGTGCTGAGAGCTCAGAGCCTGGAGCCTGCTTCAGATTCTGTGTCTCCCTCTCTCTCTCTGCCCTTCTCCCACTCATGCTGTTTCTCTCTGTCTCAAAAATAGACAGACATAAAAAAAAAAAAAGAAATGTCCTATTAGGCCATCTGTAGTGGTTCATTCCTTAAATCTTAAAAGGGCTGCAAAGAACGTTACATCGGATAGGTGTGCGCGCTCGCGCGCACACACACACACACACACCTATTATTTGCTATGGTTTATATTTAATCTTCAAAGAGGCCATAGGAAAAAGTAAAAAACAATTTTTAAAGGTAGCAGTATTTTGGCTCACTCACGGAAAGTGAGGAAGTCGGAAAGTTTTGCTTTCTCTTGGGATTGAAAGTTTCAATATAAGTGGCGGCTGAGGTTTTAACACATAATTATTAGCAAAAAGATTCCTGTAAATTTATATCCTCTCATTTGGTTCCCACAATAATCAAGTGATGTCGGTATTACTGACCCCATTTTATGGCTGAAAAGCTGACACCTTAAGCTTGCCAAGTTTGAAGAGTGGTAGAAATAAGGGCCTGAACATACAGCTGCTAAAAGCGAATCTGACTGCCTCCCTACATCTGCTCAGTTTGGGAAACAGCTTCCAAGGTTCTTCCACGTCTCTGTCTGCAATGGGAATTCTTGACACAAACGAGATTTTGGATGGGTCATACATAGTTTTAAGGCCAATACAGTTCTTTAGAAGTTTGCACTAAGTTTTTTGCAAATGATAACCAACCCCCTCCCTTTCATCCCCATATCCTAAGTGTCCTGAATTAAATAAACCATAACTGAATGCAAGTGTATAATCATTGAGCTAACACCATACCAGAAAAGGCTGGGCTTAAAGTTTAGAATAAATTTTAACACCAAAATTTAGGTTAGCTAAGTGACTATGCGCAACATTATAAATATTGAATTACATCATAAATATTAAATTAGTTTCTCTCCTTGGCAGTCTTTCTGCATTCACTGCAGGCCCATCATAGTCTTGCTTTCCCTTCACAGGGGGTCATGTTGATTACCTCTTTCAGTGGTAGTAGTGATTGTGGCTTATGTTTTCTCCCACCTGCCTCAGCCCCGTCCTCTCTTTTAGTGCTTCTTATGATGCAAGAGGATAGTTTATTGCTCAAATGAGAGTTAGGTCTGGGAGGTAGGGCTCTAAATAATGCTGTGTTCTTTCAAGCACTAAAAGCTCAAAATATGAAGCAAGAAAAACACCCATCATTTGAGTATGCACAAAGTATTTGATGTTGTACTTTGCCTCTTTTATCTATAACTATACAATGATACAGGGCCTACGAAGGAGCTGGACCTAGAGTAGGTGCTTAATGAATCCTTGTTGAATGAATGAATGAATGAATGAACCCTCAAGGAGCATTCTTGACCTGGATGTGAAAACTAAGGCTCAAGAGTTAGGTGACTTGCCCGAACAAACAGTGTTTTTCATAAAAAGTTATTTACCATTTCATGACTTTTTCACTTGGTAAGAGTCCTTGTAAAAGTTTAGCACTACCTTCTTTAATTGTGTTACTAAGTAAGACTACAATAATCAAGTGATGTAGCTATTACTGCATTTTATACCTTTGACAGGTATAGATGATATTAAAGTCCACAGATCTTTACCTAAGGAAATGGTGGACCACCTATAGAGAAAGACTGAATTGAAATGAGAAGTATTACTTTACTTCACTCACACTCAAGAGGCAAGCAATTAATTAGATTGTTTAAGCAGAAATAATCCCGTCCACCCTAGTCTGGTCACTGACCAAAATACTGAAAATATAAACTGGATGGCAAAGTCTGAACAATCAATTCTGACAGCTAGCTTCTCCAGGGAGTACCGAATGGTCATGCTTCAATGAGCCCAACTGTCTCCCTCTGCCCTCTCACCCATTCCCCATCTGGCATTTTCAGGTTCTGGCCAAACACATAATGAGCTCAGGCTTGGAGCCCTGGATGGTGGGAACATCACTTGGTGCTTGCTGGGTGTTCCTGTGCTGTGCTCTATGAGGATGGAAATGCCATCCACGGTACCGGCCATAGGCTCACTGTGAAAGCTAGGTGCAGAAACCTTACGGCAACGCTAGTAAGGTGGTCATCACTGAGTGGCGATGACTAAAGACTGAGATTAGGAGATTGTAGAAAAACATCCTATTTCAGGCAAGTTAATTAACTTCTTTATACCTCAACCTCCTGATTTATAAAATGGGTACAATAATAATATAACATCTCTCATAGGGTTGTGATGAGGTTTAAATAAGTTCATTTTATGTAAAGGGTTTAGAACAGCACCTACTATGCTCTTGGAGTGTTTTGTTAAATAAAATTTCTTTAAAAAAATTTTTTTACATTTATTTATTTTTGAGAGACAGAGTGTGAGCAGGGGAGGGGCAGAGAGAGACGGAGACACAGAATCTGATACAGGCTCCAGGCTCTGAGCTATCAGCACAGAGCCCGATGTGGGGTTTGAAGCCACGAACCCATGAGATCATGACCTGAGCTGAAGTCTGGTGCTAAACCAACTGAGCCACCCAGGTGCCCCTTGTTAAATAAAATTTCTTTACCATCTTCAAAAAAAAAAAAAAGGAAGAGGAAGGCAATAATTTTCATACTCTCCATTTTCGTGTAATTAGGATGATTAAATGGAATCATCAATAGAGAAACATTTTTGTAAAGGGTAAAGTCATGCCCTGACGTTACCCATTATGAGATTTTTCCCAGACAAGCTTTACTAGCTGAATTATGGTGAGAAAAGGGGCTATAAAGGAATTAAAGATAGAAAAATTAACCCCAATCTAATAGCAAATAATATTTGACAAGCTCTCACTTATTCTGAGCTGTAGTCGTAAGATGCTGAATGTAGTGCAAAATGAGAAAGCCTCATTTACAAGTAAAATATTAAAGAACAAGACAGGCTCATGACAGATTGTGTGTGTGTGCATGTGCGTGTGTGTATGTGTGTTATTTTAGAGAGAGAGAGCAAGCATGGACTGAGCCAGGAGGTGCCCCTCATGACAGATTTTAAAGTGCATGCATAAGAACTCTGTGAGGTAGGATTATAAGTGATTTTTATTTCTTTTTCATACTTCTCGAAAATTTCCCATTTTTATATGATGAAATGTGTTACTATTATAAACATATAAAACAGTAATGATAACATTTTTTTACAAGATTTAAAATCATAAGGAGAAAAGTTGACAGAAACTCACTTATAGCCATAAGCACACGCATGTACACACACATGCACATACATGTACACACACATAGAGGGGGAACCTACTGTAACATTCATGAGATAGAATGCTAATAAATATTAACATTAGAGTCCCTAGACAAACTTCTTTTTCAGGCTAGCTGTATTATGGTTGTTGAGATGATTTTTGTCCAAACTAGGTGAGAGAGCCATCTTAAGAATGACCACCAGCAGGTGGAAAATTACCTCAAGAGAAATAGCACTGAGAATGTTCCTTGGAGGGAAAATGATGTGTAATTGAACAAATGAAGGGCTATGACAAGACTGGTTAGCATCACAGAACCTCTGAGTTGGAAAGGGCCTGAGAAATCTTATAGTTCAACACTATCCAAACCTTGAATCCTTTTTATTATATTTCCTGATGCCAGATCTTCTATTATCAGAATCACCTGGGGGGATTTACAAACAAATACAGATTTCCAGGACCCACTGCAGATGGACTGAATTAGTGTGTGTGTGTGTGTGTGTGTGTATGTGTGCGCGCGCGCGCGCGCATGTGTGCATGTGTCTGTGTGTGCGCTTGCGCAAAGGCACACGCAAAGGGGAGGGTCAGAAAGGGAGGGAGCAGGCGCATCTAAATTTTGTTTTCATTAAAATGTTTTTAATGTTTATTTATTTTTGAGAGAGAGAGAGAGAGAGAGAGAGAGAGAGAGAGACACTGTGAGTGGGGGAAGGGCAGAGAAGGAGGAAGGTAGAATATCCAAAGCAGGCTCTAGGCTGGGAGCTATTAGCCCACAAGGCGAGGAACTCAAACTCACCAGCCATGAGATCATGCTGAGCCACCCAGGCGTCCCACATCTAAGTTTTTGTAACTCTCTCTTGTTATGAAAACTATTGTTCTAGTTAACTATCCTCCAGTTAATCCATACCATCTCCACACAGCTCTGATTAGTAAAATAATTTTTTTTAATGAGCTGAAATGTGTTGCCACATAGCTTTCCTTCCTCGACACTCCACTTCTGTCCTTTGGGCCATATTCAAGAAGAGAGCTCTTTCTTCCACAGAGCAGCTTCTCAGACAGCTCTGATGGATTAAATCAAAGCAAACAAAAATGCATGTTGCCTTGACTTTTTTTTTTTTTTTAAGTAAATGGAAATGGAGAAACAATATAAACTAGTGCTGAGAATCCATGCTTTGGATATATAACTTTTGAGAAAACACTACAAGCCACAGTGAAAACTCAGAATGTCCTCTCAAAGCAATGCCAGGCAACTATTCTGCAGCCCAGAGGTTGAAAGAGACCCAGAGAACTGTCTTCTGGTAGGAGGATGGGGAGGTTCTCTGGAATTTCATCGACTTCTTTGTGCCTCTTCCCCACTAAGCATGAGTTAGCAGTGGTGCAACAGTCTGCAGTCTCTCCATGATCCTCCCCAGGCTGTGTGGCCACAGGCAGAGAAGGGTGAGGGTCCAGTCTTCTCTGGGGTGCAAATGCCCCACAGAGTTATTCTTGGGTATAACAGGCATCTTCCTACCATGGTTTGAGCGAGCCCCATCACTGGTTTGCTTTGTGTGTGGCAGCACTGGCATGCTCAGCTTCCTTAAAGACTTTTTACAGAGATATTTGAAGTGTTTGGATATGAGAAGAAAAGTCCCCTGAGAAACCTGCAGCTTGAGAAAAGTTGGTGACTTCCTTGAATAAACATAATTCCTAACTTTAATTTCATAGCTGTGTTTCTTTACTAGGGTACAGACAAATTTGTTTCATGGACAATATGTTGGTGCCAAAAGGATGCTCCTGGGAGGGAAAGTTTCTCTCTGGGGGTGATGACTGGCTACTGGAACAGATGAGAGGGGTGGCTGTTCCAAAGTATACTAAGCCTTTCTTCAACTACGCTTTTGAAAGGAGGGAATATACTTTGGAACTGTGTAGTTGAAGAAAGGCTTGGAAGAGAAAGAGCATGGTGCTCTTGACATATAGAACTGAATATGAGTGAACATGGGAGTTGTGGGGTGGGTGGGGAAAAGGAGTAAGGAAAACAGGCAAAAAGAGTTATAAACCCTGTCTTAGATCTCACCTAGATGTTCCACAGCTCATATTCCAAGCATCTGAATTTTGCATGAAGGGTTTTAGTTTTTCCCCCATCAGTATTTGAAGGTAATACATAGCTAGAACCTTTGCTTAGTAAATCATACCTTACGTGGCTTTCACGTGACCTTTCTGTAAAGTTATCTCGTAAATCTGAACCTCTGGAATAACACCTCTGAGTGTTTAAGGCAGCATACACGCTGATAAGATAGTCTAGAACATGTGGTTGCTGGTAAATGTTTTAGGGAGGTGTGTAAGTAGATCCCTTTCTTCCTTTATGTCTTATCAGAGGCTTTGGTAAAGCCCTAATATGAGAAGAATGAGAATATGTAATTCATGTCACCTGTCACCACTGACAACTTCCCCACAGACGGACTATCCCACTCAAATCGTTATTCTGTGAACAGTTTGCCATATCTTCATCTTCCCTCATTTCCACTCCCTGGATAGCTGAAGAGCAAAAAAAATCTGAAATAGAAAAGGCAATTCTTACCTCCGTTTGCTGGGGATGACCCCCATCTCTTCACTGTCCCCCTCCAGAGTGACTCTCCTGGCTTGCCACCACTCATCATCTGAGGCGTTGATAACATGGAGAATATCTCCATACTTAAAACTAAGTCCTTGACTTGGCAGCCCACTGTCCTTGCTCTTGTCATAGTCAAACATGGCTCTGTAGAAATGACAAGAGAGAACAGTGTTAGGAACCTCTGGAGCACTGATTTTGGATTCATCATTTTGATTACCCAGTCTTGCCCTGAGGATCCATCATCCATTTAATACCAGCTCCGAGGTCTGACTCCCAGGATTGCAGTCCCACTGCACATTCCCACTGCTGTGATCACCAATCAACATTGGTACCTGCTCCTCCCTGGAGGCTGGAGGGACAGCTTACAAACTCCTAAAGCTGGGGTATTGCTTCCTTTCTTAGAGACCATCATATGTGGCAAGGGTGATGAGAGATGTGGCAAAGGCAGTTTAGCACCTGAGATGTTTTCTCTCCTACTACCATTGAAATTTAAAAGTCACTAAAAAGAAGGAAATAATGAAGACAAACATGGGCAACTTTCTGAATGAAGCATTTTGTGCTATGAGCAATCCTCTTAGATGTATGTATAAGTCCGTAGAACTCTTTTCCTTGTAATAGGGAAAGATGGTAACAACTTAAGTGTCCACACATAGGGGACTGGGATCCTTCCACTCACTGGACTATTGGACCATTACTGAAGTGGAATGGTTGCAGTTCCTATATTATACACCTGAAACTAATATAACCTGTATGTTCATTGCACTGGAATTAACATTTTTAAAAAAGAATCTGCAAATTAAAACCACAAAAGTTTAAATAAAAAATAAAACAAATTGAATGGTTGCAGAGGTTAATAAAATGCCGTGAATAAGCACTCAAAATGCAATTATAAAAAATATAATTACCTATGTTTACGTGTGTATATACAGATAGATCAAAATTATATGGATAAGACAAATCTTTTTGCTTCCAGAGAAGGCTGAGCCTATCTCAGCACAACACTCATCAATTCTGAATTGTAATTCTTGCTTTATATACCATATTTCCCTCAGTAAAGAACACATTCCCTTTGCTGAACTGAACACTCTTATATGTATAGATTGGTGGGCCAAGGGAATTGCAAACAGAATTGAAATGATCACCAAGACCTCAGTAGCTAGGTGTTGCTTTAAGTAGCTGACAATTTGTCTTGAGTCTTTTCTTTTTTTTTTTTTTAATTTTTAATGTTTTATTTATTTCTGAGAGAGAGAGAGAGACAGCGTGAGCAGGGGAGGGTCAGAGAGAGAGAGGGAGATACAGAATCTGAAGCAGACTCCAGGCTCTGAGCTAGCTGTCAGCACAGAACCCGATGTGGGGCCTGAGCCCACGAACTGTGAGATTATGACCTGAGCCAAAGTCAGATGCCCAACTGACTGAGCCACCCAGGCGCCCCTCTCTCGAGTCATATTGCCTGCCTCCTCCCATACCCCCTCCCACACTCACAAACCACCACCTCACACATACAGTATACGATTTCTCAGGAGAAGCAGATTTTGCCAACTCCTGTTTATTCCCCTTTGATTCCATTCTGAGAATTTCCTTAGAGTGTAACCACTATGCAAGCAAACTTAGATAGAGCTGGGGAACAGATTTTTCTAAAATCACTGAGGATCAAGTATGGTTCTTTTTCTATCTTCTTCTCCTCCCTCCCCTTCTCCTCATGAAAGAAATGTCACATCTGCTATCATGGCAACCCAAAAGAGCTGAAGACAGCATGTAGAATTCTCAAATACGGTAGGAAAATCTGAGTTACTTGCAACACAGCTCCTTCTTCCATGAACCCTGTTTCCAAGTAAATGAAACAGGAGGAGAGTTTCTCAATCTAAGCTGCCAGATGACTCATTGCCACCTTGACCATCTGCATCTTCCCCACCGAAGACTTCGGCAAAGCTATACCCAGGCGAAAGGGGGTTGAGAGAGGGCAGAGGCCCACTTGTGACGCTGTCACTTCTCTGGCTGGGTGACATAAATTAATTAACACTCATGAGCCACAGGTTTTTGTAATGCAAAATTAGTCCAATAACTACTTTCAGACAGAGCTGCTATGAGCATTAGTAAGACATACGAGGCAGCCAGCTCACGGTGGGTGCACTGTAGCAGCGTGTAGCATAGTGGTCAAGAATAGACTCAGGGGTCACACTGTTAGAGTCATTTCCTGATTCTACTGCTTCTTACCAGTAATATAGCTGGTTTTCTGCATTAGCTCCTTAACCTTTCTTAGGCTTCAGATTCCTCATACACAACAGTTATGGTGACAACAGCAATGGTAGCAGTACCCCCGTCATGAAATTGTTGCACGGATGAAATGTCTCATAAGGTAATACATGTAAAATCGAGCATGCCCAACAATGCCTGGCACATAGTGACAATCATCAAGTTTGAACTGTTAGTATTACCTCCCCTTTTCCCTTTGAGTGGATATTCATAAAAATTCTTTCTGTACATAACATAGCAAGCTTGAGATTACTATCCTTAAAAAGACCTCCCTACAAGGGCAGCTCGAGGCTGACATTTGGGTAATTAATATTTCCTATTAAGAATGCCCCACCATGCCTAAACTGCTTGTATAAACAACATTTAAGCTGAATATTTGTTTTCCTTCTGTGAGTCTGGAATTGTGGTATGTGCCAGGCCGAAGGTGACTATATGACTAGTCCCCAGTATAAACCCTGGATGGTGAGGGGCACCTGGGTGGCTCAGTCAGTTAAGCTTCTGACCTCAGCTCAGGTCAAGATCTCACGGTTTATGACTTTGAGCCCTGAAGTGGACTTTCTGATGTCAGCTAACAGCACACTTAGGATCTGGATCCTGTCTCCCTCTCTCTCTCTGCTCCTCTCCCCGACTTCTCGCTCACATACACTTGCACGCACACACACACACACACACTCTCTCTCTCTCTCTCTCTCAAAAATAAGCAAACATAAAAAAAGATAATAAAAATAAACAACAGCTACAACAACAGCAACAAAACCCCTGAACCCTGAGTCTTTAATGAGCTTCCTTGGTAGATGACATTTATACCTGCTGTCACAATTTGTTGCTGGAGGAATTAGGTATGTCCCATGTGACTCCACTGGGAGAAGGCTCTTGGAAGCTTGCGCCCAGTTTCCTCTGGATTTTGTCCCAAGCTCCTTTCCCCTTGCTGATTTTGCTTTGTGTCCTTTTCTGTAATAAATCATAGTCCTGAGTATGTCTATGCTGAGTCTTGTAAGCCCTCTTAGTGAATCATTGACCCCGGGAATTGTCTTGAGGGTCCCCAACACTCTATAGATTGCAAATCATTTTCATGTATATGACCTCATTTGTGACTCAATCCATCCTGACAAAGAATGTATGATGGATACAGCACTACCCCCATTTTATAGATGAGGGATAGACTAACCTCAGCATACACAACTTAGGGTTAGCAACTTTAGGCTGTGGCTTAGGTCTCCTGATCCGGAGACCTAGTACAATGCTCTTCACCTTGTTCTCCACAGACCCCCTCCCCCACAATTTGAGAGGCGGTGACAAGGTGGCAGGGTAATAACCATGATGGCTACCACTCTTTATGCTCATATTAGGTGCCCTGGCACTTTGTATCCATTGTCTTATTTGCCATCATAACAACCTGAAAGTAAAAATTAGTATCCTCATTTTACAGATTACGGTAGGAAGCTCAGGACCTTAGGGCACCTGCCCCAGGTCACACATACACATGCGGTGGAGACTGCATTTATAATATGGTCTGTCTGGCTCCAAAATCCACATTCGTGGACATTTCATTGTGAGGCTCAGTTTCCCAGCTTGTTATCCTCTGGTCATGCTCACAATTTAGCAGCACCAGGAACTCTCCAGGGCTCCACACCCTCTCCCACCCCCGCCCCCAAGTCCCCAAACTCCCTTACTGCTCACTTCTTGTCCCATTATTTTTTCTTTCTTAAATTTTAAATATTTTATTTACTTTTGAGAGAGCGCAAGCAAGGGAAGGGCAGTGAGATGGGGACAGAGGATCCAGAGAGGGCTCTGCGCCGAAAGCAGCAAGCCATTTGGGGCTCAAACTCACAAATCACAATATAATGACCTGAGCCTAAGCCTGATGTCAACTGACAGGTGTCCCTGTCCCAGTATTTTTTTCTTATCCTAAGGATCTTTGAACCTCTGGTTTAGCTCCAAGCTCTTTCTGGATATCAAGCCATTAGGAAAGCTGGTAGGTGGTAGCCAGGAAGGCAGGCTCTAGGGTCAGACTGCCTGGGTTTGCAACTTTCTTTTTAAGCAAGTTACTTGGCTCCAAGTTTTCTTAACTGTAAAACTGGCATATAATAACACCACTTACCCAAAGGGCTGTGGTGAAGATTAAATAAATTAATATATGGAAAGTATTACACAACCAGCCTGACACTAGTGAGTGCTCAAAAAATAATAGCTACCATTACTATTCTAATTGTTTTTCTGAAAACTGTGCTGGCCTTGAATCAAGGAATCTGTTGAGACTGTGGCCCTCAGTAGCTGTCTTCCGGACTGTGTACAAAGACATTTAAAATATCTCTCTATTCTCAGAGTCCAGTATAGCACTGGGCACAAAGTAGACCCTCACTATCAGTCTGTGAACGTGTTTCAGGGCCGCCTGGGTGGTGCAGTCGGTTAAGGCTCCGACTTTGGCTCAGGTCATGATCTCGCGGTTCATGGGTTCAAGCCCTGCACCAGGCTGTGTACTGACAGCTAGCTCAGAGCCTGGAGGCTGTTTTGGATTCTGTTTCTCCCTCTCTTTCTCTGCCTTCCCTCCCTTGCTCTCTCTCTCTCAAAAAAAAAAAAAAAAACATTAAAAAAATTAAAAAAAGAAACTATTAAAAAAAAGAAAGAAAGAAAATGTTTCAGATGAAGTTTGAAAGTCCTACTTCTTTCAAGCCTGTGTCCTCATGTGTAAGGGAGGGTACCAGAGACTATTCTGGTGGGGACTGGGTCAACCATTCAATCTACTGTGCTCTATTCTAATTCCCAAGAATCCCTGAGGGAAGGCTTCCCACTCCTGCCTTCAGCCATAGGTGTCCTCCCCGAAGGGGCTCACAACACGTTCTTCCAGGGTTCTGTTTATCTTGGACGATCTGCTGCTCTAGGATGACATG